GGTTCACTTCAGGAATAGCCAGGAAACAAAAGAATAAGACAAGGTTCCTCTACTCCCCACTTACACGTTGCTCTCCCATAATGACCCCAAACTAAGAAATAAGCCAAGCAGCCCGCTTACCTTCTGCTCCACGAGCAGCCTGTGTGCTGCCTCGATGTCTGGGGCCATGAAGCGATCTTTTATCCAGGGCCTACAGAGAAAGCACGTCAAACCATCAGCCAAACATTAACTGCTGCCAGGGTCCACAGTTCTGAAACAGTGTCACTTCCAGGGACCTGTCTGACATTACCTTACAACAGAGCGCACCAGGTCATAGACCTTCTCCAGGGGAGTGGTGGTTTTCAAGGGGCGTAGAAACTCGATGCCCTGGCAGGCTGCGAGCAGCTCAATGGCCAGCACTGAAACAGGGAAGGAGGAGGGGATAGCTGATTAGAGTCTGACTTCATGCTTGTGGGAAATAAATCCCATGCAAGCTGACAGCCATTGCCCGTCAACCAACAGATGGTTGTTTCTCAGTCTATTGGTAGAATGAAGCTGCCTGGGTATTCGGTTACCATTTAAAGTCTGCTTTTCTAACCCCTTGGCTGCATCTTTAATGGTGAGAGGGGAGAGCTGTCCAAGTAAATGTTTCAGCTCCCCCTCCCCGCTCAGCTGATCAAGATGGATGACCTACCTCTGTTTCTTCTTTACCTTTGTGTGAATGTCAGTTTGTTTTCAGTCTTGCTGTTCCCTATGGCCTGAAATAGCTGGCACACAGATTTTCATCAAAGGAACTGAAGGAGCCAGTGAATGAGCAGATGAGTCTTTGGCTGCCCTGGGACTAATTCTCTAATGTGTGCTTCAAACCTTTAAACTTAAAGGCTCCCAAATCCACTAAAACCAAAATTCTAGAAACTTGTGTCTTGTCAACTTTAAGTTTCCTGATAAAACAGTCTTTACACTGTCTATCCCTAGCTACAAACTCTTAGAGAATGTACCATATTTTGTGATCCACTCTCAATACTGAAATCTAGATCTTTCCATATTTGATAGTCTAATGAAGGATTTTTTAATAGAAATATAATTCAAAATCAAACCACTTTGGCTTCCATTATTTGCCAAGAAGATAATTTAGAAACCTTGAAGTTGGTCAGATCACTTAAGTGGTTAACCAAAATGAAGGATTAAAAACATCTGACTCCTTGTCTTAAAATTTTGTAAAGCACATTTTTCACCCTCGTGAGTACAGACCAGTCACAATGGGAGAAGATGAAATTATAGAATACATTTTGGACCTGGAAGAAACTTCACATCTTCTAGTCCAGCCCCTTCACTTTGCAGGTAAGGAACTGGAAACTTTGAGAAGTAAAACATCATATTAAATAAGTGCTTACACTTATTTAAAAGAGCTGGAGCTCAAGATCAGAGTTGAGTAATCATTCTGATTTCCTCCCCTACCCACACAACACAAATCTGGCCTCCTGGTCGGGGAATGTGTACAGGGGGAATGGCAGATTTTGCTAGTGCATATAACAGGCAGCTTCTCTGGTAGATTTGCAAGATAAAGGTGAAACATGTCAGGAAATCCTTAACTCACTACCTCTACAACATCTTGTTAAATACTCTGTTGCTTTCCACAAGCAGTGGTTCTCCCTGATGCATCAAGTGGGATTTAAAAATCATCCACTTCATTGTTACAAATGCAGAGGATTCAATGTACCTTGATTTACCTGGATTTGTTAAATACGATTCTCATTTATTTTGAAATAAACTGATATTCAGTGGCTTCATAACCACCTTCACCCTTCCCTTCCAAAAGTTTAAGCACACGTAAAATACGCTAAGAATCAAGGAAACACCTGCTACTTTCACATGAGTATCTGCTTCGCCTTAACAGAGTATGATTCACGTGAACTAAAACTATCCTGAGCAAATAAATAACAGTTCTACTTAGACATGTTGCAGGAATGTTCTCCAGGTTTCAAAAGTTGATGCCATCTGTGTTATTGAAATCTGAGGCTAACTTACACCCGTGTTCCTTTTACTAAGAAAGGACCACTTCTCCTGACCTTGCATCCCCTTCCCTCCCTGGGCCTTGAGATATCCATGCTTATTTCTTGGGCTTCAGTCTCCCTCTTACTCTAGATCTCTGCTACCCTGAGCTTTTTAAGATGCTCCCTTTGAAAAGATTTCCCTCCTTCCTCCAGTGGGCTATTATGTTTCAGGTCCTCTTTTCCCCTGCATGCAACCACCTGTCAAGGTCCTGTTCCTGATATTCTCTCCTGACCTCCAGCCGCCGTCAGCAGCCTTCACGCAGAGCACTGGCCTTCATCATTCACCCCAGGTCTTTCCTGACTGATGGCATCTGTACTTGGATGTCTCATATCTTAATCTCAACACATCCCAGAACAATTTATTTTGTGCACACCCCTCACCTTCCCTTACAAAACTAATACTACTCCCCTCCCCTTAATTAGCTGCCCCTATTTGTTGTTTGGGCCTTTTGGGGGGCTGGGTAATTAGGTTTATTTATTTTTAACAGAGGTACTGGGGATTGAAGCCAGGACCTCATGCGTGCTAAGCACACGTTTTACCACTGAGCTATACCCTCCCTTCAGGTCTTAGTCTTAAATACTCCATCAGAAATGCCTTTTGTCATCCCTTCAGACCAGGTCAAATTCAGCGATAGACTCCTAGAACTCTATTCTTTTGTCAGAATTTTGTTAAGTGCTACAAAGTGTTGCCAAGTTGTTACCCAAAGTCCCCCTCTCTGGTTAGACTCTAATTTCCAAGAGGGCAGAGAGAAAGAATATCTCACTCAGTGTTTACTCCACTGTGTTCAAGTGATGCATGCCTTTCCACCCAACCAGGCCAGACAGCGTGAATGGGAGAATGACAGGTAAAGGGGACAGGGTTTCTTTCCGGAATAATGAAAATGCTCTAAAGTTGATTGTAGTGTTGACTCACAACTCTGAGTATATTCACAACTTTACTAAAACACACTGAATTGTACCATTTAAATGGGTGAATTGTATGGTATATGAATTATATCTCTATAGAGCTGTTACCAAAAAAAGAAAACGCTCAACTCTCTCACATTTCTCTTAAAAGAATGATATTCTTTTGTCAGCCAGTTGCTTCCAGTACAACTGCAAAAATTTTGGAACTTTGAGAACAAAGCCTAAAGGCAGGCAATTTCACTTTAAAAAACAAAAGACGTAGTGATTAAGAGGCAGGAAAAGGCTGACCCCACACAGCTCCACCTATGAACTACCTTTGCTGAAACAAAATGCTGTCAAGCCTTTAGGGCCAACTGCAACGTTCAGAAAACGATAGAACAGAGAACAAGCTGGAAGTAACAGCACCGCGGGGAAGCTAACAGGTAAGTCTAGAATGTCAGCCTCTGTCGGAAAACTGACCTGTTTTTAAACTGGTCAATGGCATGAAAACAAAAAAGGGGGAGGGGGAGAGGGGACTGTTCTAAATGAAAAGAAAATGAAAACCTTGACCACCAAATTTAAAACGTGCGTCTTGAATCCTAATTTGAACAAACCCACTGTGAAGACATTGAGATAACTGGGAAGTGCTGACTGTGTACTCTGATGATACTAAGACTTACGGATGATTTTTGTTGGATGTGATAATGGCATCACGGTGGATAAGAAAGTGTTTCTATTTAAGAGTTAAAGAGTATGCAGGAAGTAAACACTGTAACAAGGATTTGCTTGAAAAAAACGAGAAAAGTAAAAGAAAAAATGAAGCAAATGTATTAACTGTTGAATCAGAGTGAGGTGTATATGAAGGTTCATGGTACTAACCTTTCCACTTTTGAATATGTTCTCAATTTTTCATTAAAAAAAAAGCCAGCTGATGAATTGGCTTAGCCAGCAGGTGTGGTTCTCAACTTTCAGCGAGCATCAGAATCACCTGAGGGGCTCGTGAAACCCAGATTGCTCTGTTCTTTCCTAGAGGTTCTGATTCAGCAGGTCTGGGACACGCCCTGAGTTCCCAGGTGATGCTGATTCTGATGCTGCCGGTGAGGATCCCACTCTGAAGATCACGGGCGCATAGTTGATTGGTGAGGACTGCTGGCCTCTCTGGGGTTACCTTGCTCCACGTGCTCAATGACCCGGAGGGCTTTCCTTGCTGCCCATCCTCCCATGGAGACGTGGTCCTCCGTGGCAGCACTGGTGGAGAGGGAGTCCACGGATGAGGGATGGCACAGCGCCTTGTTCTCAGAAACTGCAAGAGGTCAGAGAGGTGAATTATGTTCCTAATAGAAAAACTCCCAGAATGACACACGGCTTCCCAAAGTGCTCCTCAGCCTGGGATACTCTCTCCAGGAGCTCTTGGTCATTATCCAAGTACCAGGTGGTCCAAAGTGACTTTGGGAAAAGGAAGCAGGTTGGTTTCTCCCCAAAGTGAGAGGGACTCTAAAGCTACAGTGAATTCTGGGATAAAAACCTAATATTACAAAATCCAAGTTGAAAACACTGGAAGCACTTAGCATGCTGGGGAGACCAGGAGAAAAAGAAGTGATGGTCATTTCCAGGTACTAGAGAACAACCTGGCTGTGTCACCAGAGGAGGTGGGATCGGAATGTAGGCATGGCGTTGGAGGATTGAGGCTGGACCCACAGATCCTGAGCAAGAAGATTTACTGTTAAATGATGACATCAGTGGATATACTGGGTTTAAGCAAGGGCTTGATGCCTGCCAGGCATGTCTGGCGGAGGTGCAGGGAGTCCTAGGGTTGGCCTAGATGGATGTCTCTCCAACTTTATTGTGCAGATAAATCACTCCACCTTGTTAAAATGCAAATGTTGAGTTTCAGGTGGGGCCTGAGATTTTGCTGTTCTACGCAAATTCCCAGTTGATGGCTTTATTTTTGTCCAGAGAATCATACCTTAAGTAGCAAGGACCTAGATTACAGAGTTCCTTCTCCCCAGCTTCAGAAGCCAGGAAAGGTCACACTCAAACAGATTTTTCCCCTCTTCTTTTGACCGTTGAGAGCAGCTTGGAGTGAAGCTTCAATTGTTTTCTGTGCTGTAAGGGATCCTGAGATAATCTAGTGTAAACTATCTAATGTAAACTAGGGTGATCACTCATCCTGGTTTGCCCAGAACTTTCAGGTTTCAGCACTGCAAGTCCTGGGCCCCTAAACCTGCTATCTGGATCACTCTGTTTGCTAGGGCTTGTTCAGAAAGATAACTTACAAGTGGCCAAAAAAAGAAAACCACCAGTTTTATTATAATGAAAGCAAGCTGAGCAATGTCAGTAGCAGCTACGGGAGCTAAACACAGTCAAACGAGGCTTCCCAAGTCCATAATGTTCTCTAAAGATCAATTACCACTGCCCTATGTTAATGTGAGAAGTTACTGTCCTTTAAAGGAATATTTCAGTCAGGAGATGCATGAGCAAACAGAAGATACTAGACAGAGGATGGATTTTAGTGCCTCTTGGTTGTGTTGAGTCTCAGTGTGAAACTGAGCTGAGGAAGGGGCGAGGAGTGATAGCAACTAGTATTTACTCAGTGCTTACGACATGCTGGTTCTAAGGCTTTCCATGTATTCATTGAATCCTCCGAAACAACCCCATTCAGTAAATTGATCACCTCCACCCATTTTCTGCAGGAGTAAACTGAGGGTCAGCAGGATTGAGAGACTTGCTTCACCTCATGCTGCTGTAAACGGACGGAGTCAGGGTTTGGACCCAAAACCTGTGCTCTGACTAAACTGCCAGGCTGTCCTGCCTCTTGGGTAAGTTTGCCAGAAAAAAAAAAAATAACAGATGCTCAGTTAAATTTGAATTTCAGGTAAAAAACAAATCATTTTTTAGTACCAAATCATGAGCCAACTAATTCAAATTAGGCACATGCTTTCAAACTGGGCATCCTACATTTCTATTTGTTAAATTTGGCAACCGTATTTTAGGATTAAATATTGATTAAAATGATATCATCATTAATTGAAGGGAGAGCATTGTTTGGGAGCCAAAAGGCTTGCGTTTGAATTCTGCTTTACTTCTTCTTGGCTGTGCAGTACTGGATAGGTCACTTAACTTGTTGGATCTTCAAGTATTCATCTGTGAGTTGGAGGAAATAATAGTACCTGCCTCTTGGTATTGTTGTGACGATTAAGTGAGTATATGTAAGTGAAGCCCTCTGCACTTCCTTTGTGCCAGGCCCCGTTCTGATGTTACTTCTCTGCCCCTTACAGTCTTGAGTCAGAAATCAGTTACCTTGAAGCTCAATTTTCATAGAGGGCATCTTGCTTCTTACAAGCATTTTTGCATGTTGTAATCACATCCTTATATTTTTAGTGGTTGCTATGTCTGATGCACTATATCCAGACTTTAATGACTTGGGTCAGCTCAAGTTTCAGCAGTAGCTCTAAACATCTATGTCTTTTTGCTTCTGGTAGTCTTCAAATTGAGATTAGGGAGAAAGCTGCAAAGATGAAGTTCACAAGTGATGTCACATTGCTTCCTACAGAGAAATTGTGGAAACCTCATTATTTACAACCTCATTGGTATATCATTATGTTTCAGTATAATGTTGCTTAGGTTTTGTATTTTTTTCTTCTAAACCTGCTGCATTTGTATTGAGAGAGGGAGGATGCACATGGAGGGGTGAAAAAGTTTGATCTTGTTCAAAGACAAAATGGGACACTTTCAGGTAAAATGGAAAGGCTCTTAGACAGACAGGCTTGCGTTCTGGGCAAAGGGCAGGGAAAAGTGCTTACCAAGGGCTGCGGCTGTACAGTGGGCTATCATGAATCCAGAGTTCAGACCTCCTTCAGCCACCAGGAAGGCAGGCAGCTCGCTGAGGGAGGGGTTACAGAGCCTTTCAATTCTTCTTTCACTAATCGCAGCAAGTTCATGGACGCCAATAGCCAAATAGTCCAGGGCCTGAAAGAGTGTCTCAGTTCAGTTGGCCTGCACTGGAAAATGCTTTCAGGGTCAGGAGTAGTTCTATACGGCTTACTTTGGCTGGGTATTCACCATGAAAATTTCCTCCGGAAATAGTCTCTCCCCTGCTGGCAAAGACCATCTTTCAAAACAGGTTAAGGCTTTCACGTAACACTCCCCGATCACTGATTTTTAACATTGAGATGGCAGCCCTTGTACAAGTGTAGTGTGGAGGGAAGGAGAGCCTCTCCATAAGCAGGTGTTGACATACAGGGACACAAAAGCCAAAAAACATAAGAACTTAAAGCTGATTGTGTCTAACCAGTTGGGGACCAAAGAAACATGAAGCATGAAGTGATGTTTTCTCTTGGGAGTAGAGATTCTCAAGCACCATAACAGTCGTAATCTGCTGGTTAGTACTTGCCCTCAAAACGCTTATAACCTGAAACTAAGAACGGAGACCAGGACACCAGTTTAAAAGCAAATTTCTTTGATGGGCACTGTGAGCTTGTGCTCTGTAGAAGAACCTGCTAAACAAAAGATCTGGCTGACGAGCAGCCACCAAATTATCTGGAACAGTCAATTCTGGGAAAACTTTCAAACCCTCTCCTCAGCGAGCCTGTGCCAGCAATCCCAGCAATGGTGGCCAAGAGTTGTGGCAAACCCATTGAAGTCAGTGGCAACTCTGGACTCACTGAACATTAGTACTCTCACAGATCACCCCATTCCATCATGTATTTTACTTAACCCAACAGGCACCCTGACAAAGGCAGGAACAGACATTCCAAAGAGCTAATTTTCACCTATGGAACTGAAGAATATTCACTGCCTATTAACTAGGAACTCATTCTGTGTGAGAGAAGTGCTAACTGCCAGAGAGCTGGAGAGACATGTGTCGCATTGACTTAGTCAAGTTTGGAGTTACCCTCTTCTGTGCAGAGAACCCTGAGCCTTTTAGGCCTATGTCCTGCCCTTCCCCATGGACCCAGCCCCAGCCACAGGCCTCGGTCTTCTCTCTGTTCTCTGAATCCTCATAGCAAGTAATCCCTGCACCAGTTTACAACTTAAGCATTGTCAGTTGTCCTCTAGATGTTCTAAATGTTTTTGTCGGCTATTAGGTTATAGCAATTAGAAGTTCTATCCATAATATCCAGCAACTATGTAACAGATATTCTATAGCCACAACAGAAAATTGAGAAAAATATTCTTTCAGGTCACACTATACTGGTAACAGTATAGCAGGGGAACTCCCAAATATTGGCCTACTGGGAATTCATCAACAATTAAGAATCTTTGCTTGAGAAAACAAAGGACTTTTGGCTGGAATTTTTGCTGAGGCGAGTGGTGGGGGAAGAATTGAGTAAGGAATTATCCCCTCTCCAATCCAATAATTTCACAGTGTATTTGTTTTGTTTTTTATTACTCTATTAGATACCCTTTCAAGTCTAAATTAAGTAAGTGTAGAATGGATATCTTAGCTGTACAATGCAAGAACTGATAGATGAAACAAAAATACATAGAGTTCATGAAAACTCCTCCATTTGCAGGGGTGGAATGGTGTCGAGTAGGGTTATTGAATTGGAAGTTATTTAGTGTGTGTCTGATCTAACTGTAAAACAGTGTGAAGGACATAAGGCACACATCCTGAAGTCGGCTTGTCAGAGAAGACACATTCAACAGGTCTTGTGTGGCCCTGTATACAGCTGCTGTCCGCTCACCCAGGCTGTGCATTGCTCTCAGGCTGCTAATTCAGCACTAATTCTCCAGTGCTAAGAACTGAGGCAGATGTGGGATAGGAAAAATAGATTCCTAAGGGGTTGGGTGGTCTTCAAAGGCAGTATTGTCTCTGTGAAGACTTTGCCAGTGTGCCTCCTGACTGATCACGTCAACTT